GCAGATGGGGACACGTTTGATAAGGACAGGGATGGGGTTTGTCCTGGTCCTTTCTCTCTTCCTAGGGCTTAGCCCAATGCATGGTAGGAAGAAGACAATCAACAAACACTTCCAAAAAGAGATCTCTGGGTGAATGAGTAAAGATAAGAAGAAACAGCGCCAGACATATTTGAGGGTTACTGAAGCCAGTCTGGTGGAAACAGACTTCCTGAAGACAACTGAGGGGTGGGGTAGGTGAGGGCGATCAATGCAATGTAGGGAGGTTGGCATCAGCTTCTGGGAGCTTCAGTCCAAATGATGTGTCCGGTTGAGATAAGAATAGCACTGGGTGGTTGCAGGATGGAAAACCCAAACAACAGCTGAAACAAGAACTAGGCAAAGAAACCACAGGATAACAGAACATCCCAAATAATGAAGAGAAAATGGGCAACACCCTGGGCAGGGTGACATGTCCATGACTCTTCCGGGCAAAGCCAAATAAGGGAAAAAGGGGACAGTAACGGATGTGGTGGGTAGTGTCCCGGTAATCCCCTCCTTTCCCACAATACCTAATGATTATTTCTTTTTGAGGCAGGGTCTCACTCTGTCACCCAGGCTAGAGTGCAGTGTGCAATCATGGCTCACTGCAGCCTTGAACTCCTGGGTTCAAGCAATCCTCCTGCCTCAACCTCCCTAGTAGCTATGACTATAGGCAGTCTCCATGACATGTGCCTAATTGTTCATTTTTTTTATGGAGATGGGATCTCACTATGTTGCCCAGGCTGGTCTCAAACTCCTGGGCTCCAGTGATCCACCCACCTCAGCCTCCCAAAGTGCTGGGATTGCAGGTGTGAGGCACCGTGCTCAGCCAGAATACCTAGTGATTACTCCACTTCCTGACTAAAGATACACCTGTAAAATTAGAAACTCAAACTCTGCTGTGACTATCCTCACGAGTATGCCTGTGTGCCCTTCCGCTTTGCAAAAAAAGCTTCTGGCCTTTTGCTTCATTCTGATTCGTCCCTGAATTCTTTCTCCAGATGGTGTCAAGAACCTGGAAACTGGCTGCGGCCGGGGTCTCACTGGCATCCGGAGACCCTCCTGAGCCGTCCGACAATGCAATGCCATGCAATGAATGGGGCACGACCATGAGTGTGTCCTTTCTGTCACAGCCTGTGTGCTCCAACTGCCCCATTCTTCTAGGTCAGGGATTCTCCATCTTTCTGTGCCATCTGCTCTTTTGCCAATTTTTCTCAAGGTAATTTTTAATGCATACAATAAGACTCCGTGTACACAGAGGAAGCCAGTTATTTGGAAATTAGGCCTTTTCCAGCACTCTCAGGGTTGATGGGCTAGTTGCAGAGAGGCCCTCTGCATACAAAGCAACATGCTATTCTAAAGTGACTGGGGGCCCAGCTGGGTGACTCATGCCTGTAATCCCAGCACTTTGGAAGGTGGAGGCAGTTGGATCACTTGAGGTCAGGAGTTTGAGACCAGCCTGGGCAACATGGTGAAACCCTGTTTTTACCATTAGCTGGGTGTGGTGACATATGCCTGTAATCCCAGCTACTTTGAAAACTGAGGCAGGAGAATCATTTGAATCTGGGAGGCAGAGATTGTAGTGAGCTGAGATCTCACACTACACTCCAACCTGGGTGACAGAGCTAGACTTTGTCAAAATAAAATAAAATAAAATGTGACTGGGAATTTTTTTTTAATCATAGTTTCACTCTTGTTGCTCAGGCTGGAGTGCAATGGAGCTATCTCGGCCCACTGCAACCTGCACCTCCTGGGTTTAAGCAATTCTACTGCCTCAGCCTCTTGAGTAGCTGGGCTTACAGGCATGCACCACCATGCCAGGCTAATTTTGTATTTTTAGTAGAGATGGGGTTTCTCCATGTTGGTCAGACTGGTCTTGAACTCCCGACCTCAGGTGATCTGCTTGCCTCAGCCTCCCAAAGTGCTGGGATTAAAGGCATGAGCCACCGGACTAGCGTGACTGGGAAATTATTAAAGAAGAAGATAATTTGTGGCAATGAGACTCTTTAGGTTGGCGCTTCCTACGTTTGCATTTGAAGTCTGTCCTGGCTGTAGGAGAACCTGTGGGTGGTCCTCTGTTGGGGAGACAGGAAGTGACCATGGAAGGACCCACCTGTGGTTCGCTGGATGCCTTTATTGTCCCTGATGTGCCCAGCAGATGCCCCTGGCACAGCCTCAACCCCCAGGTCACCTCCCTTGTGGGGCCTTTGTGACCGTCCCCTCTCAGCTGTCCCATGCCCACCTGGTTAGGAACAGGCTTTCAGCCTCTTCTTAACAAACTGCCTTAGGCCTTCCCATCGCCTCTGAAATCTGACTCCTAGCAGGAAGTTTTCTCCAAGTGCCTTGTGGCTCTGAGCCCCTCTCCTCCTGTCCCACACCTGGCCTGGACTGGGTTTCCTCTACCTTGTCCACTCCAGTCCCGCTCTCTTGTTACAGACGAGGCCACATCCGACATTCAAATCTTTGTTAGCCTGGCTGGGCTCACAAGGATTTTGATTTCCTCGTTGATCTGGAGTATTTATCTTTTATTTCTGCAAGCTGTCATCATATTTCAAAATAATGTTTCTATACTTCCTTCTCTTGACTATTTGTTTTCTTCCCTGGGGCCCTCTGTATTCAGATAGAGATTTTTACCCCGAAAGAAGGAAATGTGAATTTCACATAGCCTAAAGGAGTCTAATTTTCAAATAGAGTTTAATTTTCAAACAGAAGCCAAAGCATCAGGAAAAAAAAAAAAAAAGGTAAGTCTGGGCGAGGTGGCTCATGCCTGTAATCCCAGCCCTTTGGGAGGCCGAGGTAGGGGGTTCATTTAAGGTCAGGAGTTCGAGACCAGCTTGACTAATGTGGTGAAACCTCATTTCTACTAAAATACAAAACATTAGCCGGGTGTCGCGGTGAGCACCTGTAATCGCAGCTATTTGGGAGGCTGAGGCAGGAGAATTGCTTGAACCCAGGAGGCTCAGGTTGCAGTGGGCTGAGATCACGCCACTGCACTCCAGCCTGGATGACAGAGCAAAACTCTGGCTCAAAAAAAAAAAAAAAAAAAGATATAGCCTTCAAATTCGGGCTTTCAAGAAAGATGAGATGGTTGGCTCAGAATTCTGAAGAGTGAAATGATTTTCTTCAGGAACCTGGCTTGAAAGGTGGATTTTGGAGTAATATAGAATGAATGGCTGAGCTTTGGATGTAAAGGAAGTTCTTGTCCCACAGGAAGAAAAAGCAGGGGCACAGGCAGGTGGTGCTTCATGAGAAGGTCAAGGTGAGAGTTCTGCCGTGTCTTTTGGGGATGAAACCTGTGCATGGCAGTTGGTGACTCAATTGAATCTGGCTCTGGTACCTCCCAATCAGAGGGGCCAAGCCACACCTATGTACATGTACAGGGGATGCCTGAACAACTCCAAGGGACAGGGATCCAGGTCATACTTGGGATCACCCAGGTCAGAGTGTCCAGGAACCATGGCCTCCAGGGGAAACCCAGAGTTTCAGATGAATCCAGTGCTTGGGAGCAGAACAAATGAGAAAATCGAATTACATTTTAAAGCATTCAACAGTTAAAGATACCATCCTCTGCTGCGCTAGAGAAGAAGGTTACTGTTTGTTAGGCTCGGCAGTTTAGACATTAGGAATGTTTCCGAGGCGATGCAATTTTGGGGTGTGAGTCAGCTCAGAGCAGGCATTCCAGTCTTCTGTCTCGAAATCCACCACTGTCTGTCTCTGTGCACTGCTTCCCCAGCCTTTCTGATGCCATTGAGGGTAAGTTCTTTCTTTCTTGTTTAGAGGTAGGGTCTGGGTCTGTTGGCCAGGCTGGAGCATACTGGTGTAATCCAACTCATCACAGCCTTGACCTCCTGGGCTCAAGCTATCCTCCTGCCCCAGCCTCCTGCTGGGAATACAGGTATGCACGACCATCCCTGGCAGTTAAAAATTTTTTTTTTTTTTTTTTTGTAGAGACTGGGTCTCCTTTTGTGGCCCAGGCTGGTCTTGAACTTGTGGCCTCAAGTGATCATTCTTCCTTGGCCGCCCAAAGTACTGGGATTACAGGTGTGAGCCATTGCGTCCAGCTTGGTGAGAGTGATTTCTGAGGTTCATCTGTCTCATGTCAGGCAGAAAGGATGGCTTCTGGGGCTGAGACCCCATGCTGCCTCCAGTCCTTGCTTCGCTATTGGGAACCCAGGCTCAGATTCTGCAGAAGCAGACTGGTTAAAATCACACTGAGACCCAGCCCTGTAAACACACAACAGCTGCCAGCAGGGGACACCAGAGGGCCGGGGTGGACCGAAGACACCATCAGAAACTGGAACCCAGGCACTCCCACAGCTACTGCAGCCCCACTGCCCTCAGGAGCTGGAGTTGTGACCACTTCCAAGACCACCAGAAAGCACTGACCACTGTGCCTGCCTCTTTGTTTCCCAGACACATGAGCCAACGTCCAGGGCGGTAGCTTCGGCTTACTGAGCATAAACTCCGTGTACACCTGCTCCTTATATTGCCAGGGAGGCTGTAAAAGGAGGATGCGGCTATTTCTGCTTCCATCGTGGAAGGCTGGGATTCCACAGGCACAGACAGGAAGGAGGGAGAGATGTGGATGTGAACGTCCTCCAGTCAGCTCTGGCAGAGTCAGGTGTGGGACAGTGAGGGTCCCACCCCAGCTGTGGTCTACCCAGGCCCATGACCTGGACACGTTGAGGGTTTTTCAGAAGGCAGGATGAAGTGTGGTCTGAAAACACACAAATGCCCCTACTGGCCCAGGGATCATCATAATAGACGGGAAGGGTGGTGCCTCCCTGGTGTCTGCCACCTGTCACACATACCTTCCACCCACTGACATCCTTCTGCCTCAGGCACACACATAGCCTCAGTCCAGAGATCAACTGTCTCAGCTCTAAATTTGCATATCCTGTGTGTAGACTCACTCATTTCAACCTCTGTCCAGCTGGCTTGTGTATCTTTTTTTTTTTTTTTGTCTGTGTGTCAGGTGGGGAGCCCGTCCTGGCACTCCCATTGGCCTGTAGATTCACCGCCCCTGGGCAGGGCCCCAGGATCCAGGATAATAGCTGTGCCTCCTGCCCAGAACCCTCCAGGTAGAAACAATTCTAAGAATGGTGCCTGTCCTGCTGTCTTTGCTGCTCCTTCTGGGTCCTGCTGTCCCCCAGGAGACCCAAGATGGTGAGTGGGGAAAGCAAGGGATGGGTACTGGAGAGGACTGGGAGGAGGTGAGGAACAGGACATGTGACTGGGAGAAGGGCCGGATGCAGCTGGGATTCTCTGGCATCCAGCAGGAACAGGTGCCCCGGGCTGTCATCTCACCCAGCTCACACACTTCCAGGAGCATTCAGGGAGCCTCTGCCCTCACCCTAAATAAGACCTTCAGGAATCTGAACCTAAAACCCTTAGTTTACAGTGAAAACAAAGATTCCAAAGACCAAGTGACCTGCCTGGGGTCAGACAGCCAGGACGGAGCAGGAACCACACGCCTGGAGCTGCTTCTGCTCCCGATGGCTGGGTACACCTGCCTGATGCTGAGGGAAAGAGACAGCAGCCCCAAGGGGAAAGTGGGAAGGCAGGTCAGCTGGAGGGATGGTGCTAGAAGGAAACCCGTGCCCTCACCCCACACTCAGACACGGGAGCACTGGGTGTGGAAGGTGAGTAGCCTGAAGAGAAGACGGTGGGAGCTTGGGGAGATCAAGAGTCACTGCTAGGACAGGGACAGGAGGCGGTTTGTGGCATGGGAATGTGCAGAATAAATAAATAAAAAGGAATGGCTTCTCAGCTGTGTGAGTTTAAAATTCATGATATTTACAGATTGTCAGAAAAGGTGTTACATGTTCGTTGTAGAACAATCACTTTGGAACGTTAATCCTGTTCTGTACCAAAATCTGAATTATTCAGGGTTCTCCAGAGAAAAAGAACTAAAAGGTGGTACACATATACATATATATGTCCATACACATCCATACATACACTGCATATACACGCACACACACGCACGCACACACACGCAGCACACACACACACGAAGAGATTTATATACATGTATACAAAAGAGAGAGAGTAGAGATTTGTTTCAAGGAATTGACTCACATTATTGGGAGGAGAAGCAAGTCCTAAATCTTCAGAGCAGGCCAGCAGGCTGGAGACCCAGGGAAGAGTTTGTGTCTTAGTCTTGAGTTCAAGGGCAGACTGTAGGCAGAATTCTTTTTTCTTTAGGGGACCTCTGAGGCTTTTTCTCTTAAGGACTTCAACTGCTTGGATGAGGTCCGTCACTGTGGAGAATAATCTGCTTTGCTCAAGGTCTACTGATTTTTTCGTAAATTAAAAAAAGTAGGGGCTGGGAGTGGTGGATCAGGCTTGTAATCTCAGCACTTTGGGAGACCAAGGCGGGCAGATCACAAGGTCAGGAGATCGAGACCATCCTGGCCAACATAGTGAAACCCCATCTCTACTGAAATACAGAAAAGTAGCCAGGCATGGTGGTGCACACCTGTAGTCTCAGCTACTCAGGAGGTTAAGGCAGGGGAATTGCTCAAACCCAACCTGAGATCATGCCAGTGCACTCCAGCCTGGCAACAGAGAGAGACTGTCTCAAAAAAAAAAAGTTGTGGGTGCATAGTACATGTATATATTTATGGGGTACATGAGATGTTCTGATTCAGGCATGCAATGTGAAATAATCACATCATGGAGAATGAGGTATCCATCCCCTCAAGCGTTTATCCTTTGTGTTACAGACAATCCAATTACACTCTTCTGGTTATTTAAAAGTGTACGGTCAAATTATAATTATGATTGTTATTTTTATGAGATGGAGTCTTGGTCTGTCAGCCAAGCTAGAGTGCAGTAGTGTGATCTTGGCTCACTGCAACCTCCGCCTGTCAGGTTCAAGCAATTCTCCTGCCTCACCCTTTGGAGTAGCTGGGATTACAGGTGTGCACTGCCACACCTGGCTAACTTACGTATTTTTAGTAGAGATGGGGTTTCACCATGTTAGCCAGACTGGTCTTGAACTCCTGACCCCTAGTGATCCACCCCTCTCAGCCTCCCAGAGTTCTGGAATTACAGGCGTGAGCCACGGCACCGGGCTCCAATTAAATTATTATTGACCAGAGTCAGCCCAGACTGGAGTGTGGTGGTGCAGTTTTGGCTCACTACAACCTCTGCCTGGGGTTCAAGCAATTCTCCTGCCTCAACCTTTCGAGTTGCTGGGACTACAGGTGTGCACCACCATGCCTGGCTAATTTGTGTGTTTTTAGTACAGACGAGATTTTACCATGTTGGCCAGACTAGTCTCGAACTTCTGACTTCAAGTGATCCACCTGCCTCAACCTCCCAAAGTGCTGGAATTACAGGTGTGAGCCACCACACCCGGCCCCAGTTATTATTGACTAGAGTCACCTTGTTGTGCTATCAAATAGTAGGTCTTATTCATTCTTTCTATGTCTTTGTACCCATTAACCATCTTTCCAGTTCCCCCCACCACTGCCACTGTCATTCCCAGCCTTCGGTAACCACCCTACTCTCTGTGTTCATGAATTCAGTTCTAAGGTCCATGATTTAAATGCTAATTACGTTTAGAAACTCCTGAGCCACAATAATTTTAGTAAGTGAACTAGGAATCTGCCATATGACCTCCAACATTATTAGCACCTGTGTAAATTGTATCATAAAATAATTGTGGAACTATTATGGAAAGGTCCCCATCTCTCAGCTCCCACCTCGTACCAAAATGCAAGGTACAACCCTGGGAATTCTGAGCTCCATCCTAGTCTTAACGTTGTGCTAATCCAGTCTGGGTCATTTCTTAAATTTTCTAGTAAATTTTATTTTCTATCCTTTCTAACTGTATGTATTTGTCAGGTTGAACTACAAATGTTAACTTGTGTTTTTTTTTTTTCTTGAGACAAAGTCTCACTCTGTCATTCAGGCTGGAGTGCAATGGCATAATCTTGGCTCGCTGCAACCTCTGCCTCTCTGCTTCAAGTGATTTTCCTGCCTCAGCCTCCCATGCAACTGGGATTACAGCCTTGCACCACCACACCCAGCTAATTTTTGTATTTTTAGTAAAGTGGGGTTTCACAATGTTGTCCAGGCTGGTCTCCAACTCCTGATCTCAAGTAATCCGCCTGCCTTGGCCTTCCAAAGTGCTGGGATTACAGGCATGAGCCACCGAGCCCAGCATTTCTGATGTTAATTTCTTATTTATATCAGATTCCATGCACATTGGTCAAGGTTCTTTTCCTCCAGGAGGTGACTCAGGGATCCAGGCTAAAGGCATATTGGGACTCTTTCATAGTATCCTGTGACCTTCAAAGTTGTCACCTCAAGAGATGAGAAACAGAGGGGGCAAGCCAGCTGGTAGGGTCTTGGACAAGAAGAAAGACATCATTCTGCACATTCTTCTTTGACAAAACTCAGTCACATGGTCCCAATGTATCTTTGAGGAAGCTGAGGAATATGATCTTCTTACCTGTCAAGCAGAGGAAGCAATGTAGTGAAGACACAGGGGTCTGTGAAATAACATCTCCAGCATGAAACTACAGCATGAGTCTCCAGTGGTGTGAGGTTGATGGGAGGAGAAAGAGCTGGGAAGGAAGAGGCCAGTGGGCAGGTCTTCCCTCCTGGCCTCCGCAGCCCCAAGGTGGGACCCTTGCATGGATCTTAACCATCAGAGTCTTTTCTTTTGCAGGTCGTTACTCTCTGACCTATGTCTACACGGGGCTGTCCAAGCCTGTTGGAGACATCCCCAAGTTTCAGGCCTTTGGCTTCCTCAATGACCTTTCCTTCTTTGAGTACGACAGTGAAGACAGGAGGTCTCGGCCCCTAGGACCCTGGAGACAGGTGGAAGGAATGGAGGATTGGGAGCAGGACAGCCAACTTCAGAAAGCCAGGGAGGACATCTTTATGCAGACCCTGAACGACATCACGGAGTATTACAACGACAGTAACGGTTAGTGAACAACAGACCGTGGGGGTAGAAGGTCTAACCCAAGAGGCAGCCCCCAGGTGTGAGTGGCAAGGGGTCAGCAGGATGGAAACAGTCCCAATCCCAGAGGAGGAACCGGAGGCACAGCAGAAACGCAGACATGTCCACATTCCTTCCCCACATAGCACAGGTGCTCCCTGCTTCCCCATTGATTGCCCCATCCTCATACCAGGCCTCAGCTCACACAGGAAGTGATGGCAGAGTCACTTCTTAGCCAGGCACCTCTGACCTCTCACCACCACACCCCCACCCTTCCGAGGCTGATTCCCCACCCCCTACTCCGTGAGAAGGCATCAGACTCACCCCTGACCTGGGAGGTTGCCTGGAGACTGAGCCACTCTCGAAGTCACTCAGACCTGGGCTCATCTGGTGGCTCTGCCAGTCCCACTGTTGACAGTGAGATGTTCCCAAAATATCTGGTTGAAATCTGCAAACATTGGAGCATTGAGACCTACCTCCAAACAGTTTTGTAATATTTAACTATGTCTATTCCATGAAGGATGTCACAGTCTGTCCTGATCTCCCTTGCAGCTCCATTGCCTAGGACAGGGTGCAGCCAATATTTGCTCAATTGAAATGTGTGGAATGAACAGAGAAAAGCACCCAGCACACACTGTAGCCCATGCTGGGGGCTCAGGAAGTGCTGGATTCAAAAGCGCAGGTTGTTAGAGTTCCCTGGAGCCCTAAAGTTCCTCCTCTCCATAAGATGCAGACCCGGGAAGGGCCACCTGCACTGTGGTCGGAGGAGCTGGTGGCAGAGCCCACACAGAGATGGTCTCTGTGTCCCCAGCCCAGCACTCTTTCTCCTAGACCACACTGCCGGCCCCAAGGCAGCCAGCCTCAGGCCTGGTGAACTGCTGATGTTAAATTATCATAGAGTGGGTGTCAAAAGATGGGCTTCTAAGTACAAAAATGCCCAAGATGCTACATGGGATCTGAAGGTTTCCAAAAAGAGCAAGAAAGAGACAGGCAGACGTTTGAAGGGTGTGGGATGGGAGATCTTGGGAAGGAAAATGGCCTGCGCTGTGTCAGCAATAGGAGAGGTGGGGACACAGGTGATCAGGAAAGGCACTGGGAGAAGCTTTGATGGACAGAAATAGAATTGATAGGAGGAAGAAGAGAGATGGACACAGGGTATTAGAAAATAATCGTGGCCGGGCGCGGTGGCTCACGCCTGTAATCCCAGCACTTTGGGAGGCCAAGGAGGGCAGATCACAAGGTCAAGAGATCGAGACCATCCTGGCCAACATGGTGAAACCCCATCTCCACTAAAAATATAAAAATCAGCTGGGCATGGTGGCATGAGTCTGTAGTCCCAGCTACTCAGGAGGCTGAGGCAGGAGAATTGCTTGAACCCAGGAGGCGGAGGTTGCAGTGAGCCAAGATGGTGCCACTGTGCCCCAGCCTGGTGCCTGGCGATGGAGCGAGACTCTGTCTCAAAAGAAAAGAAAAGAATCTTAGGGCACATTGTAATCCCAGAACTTTCGGAGGCTTAGGTGGGTGGATCACCTGAGGTCAAGAGTTTGAGATCAGCCCGGCCAACATGGTGAAACCCTGTCTGTACTAATAATACAAAAAATAGCCTGGTGTGGTGGCATGCATCTGCGGTCCCAGCTACTCAGGAGGCTGAGGCAGGAGAATCACTTGAACCCGGGAGGCGGAGGTTGCAGTGGGCCGAGATCCTGCCATTGTACTCCAGCCTGGACAACAAGAACAAAACTCTGTTAAAAAAAAAAAAAGGAAATTAATAGTAGCCGACATTTACTGAGTACTTATTTTGTGCCAGGCCCATCTCTGAGCATATTTAATGCTCAGAATAACCCCCTAAAACAGCGCTCTTGGCATTGCTATTTCAGAGGTGAGGGAATAGAGGCACAGAGAGGTGAGTGGCTGCAGTTCAGGTAATACACCAGCTAGGAGCGGGAGACACCTGGGACTTGAGCCCAGACAAAGATGATCTTGAGAGCTGCCAGAGTCTACGCCAACAGCACCAATTAGTGCTGGGTCAACACCTCTTTTATCATCAGGATGAAGAGGCTGTGTCCCCCGCCCTAAGGACGTCCATTTCTGAGAGTTGTGGCTAAGGGGCAGGAAGGTTGGGACTTTAGAGATTTGGGATAAAGATAACAACACCAGAAAGGAAGAAAGAAGTGATCAGATGAACTTCAATCTAGAGCTGAGAGAAAAGGCAAGCCTTCCTTTACTCATATGAAATCCCAAATCATTTCTATCCAATTCAGAAGTACACTTTGGTGTAGTTGTGACAGCTTCCTCAGGACTCAGCATAAATTCAAACAAGTACTTGTCCTTAGAAGAGATGCTGTGGAAGAGATAGAAATCTATCCATATTCTGTAGCTCTTTTTTTGTGTGTGAGACAGAGTTTTCTCTTGTCACGTAGGCTGGAGTGCAATGATGTGATCTCAGCTCACTGCAATCTCTGCCTCCTGGGTTCAAGTGATTCTCCTGCCTCAGCTTCCCGAGTAGCTGGGACTATAGGTTGCAGGCATGTATCACTACGCTGGGTTATTTATTTATTTATCTGAGACAGAGTCTTGCTCTGTCGTACAGGCTGGAGTAGAATGGCATGATCTCGTCTCACTACAACTTCTGCCCCCAGGTTCAAGCGATTCTCCTGCCTCAGCCTCCCGAGTAGCTGGGATTACCGGTGTGTGACAGCATACTGAGCTAATTTTTGTATTTTTAGTAGAGACGGGGTCTTACCATGTTGGCCAGGCTGGTCTTGAACTCCTGGCCTCAGGTGATCCTCCTGCCTCAAAGTACTGCCTCAAAAGTGCTAGGATTACAGGCGTGAGCCACTGGGTTCATCTTTTTTTTTTTTTTTCTGAGATAGGTACTCACTCTGTCACCCAGGCTGAAGTTGAAGTGCAGTGGTATGATTTTGGCTCATTGCAGTCTTGACTTCCCGGGCTGAATTGATTCTCCCACCTCAGCCTCCTGAGTAGTTGGGACTACAGGCATGCACCACCATGTTGGGCTAATTTATATATTTTTTGTAGAGATGAAATTTTGCCATGTCACCCTGGCTGGTCTGGAACCCCTGGGCTCAAGCGATCCACTTGCTTCAGCTTCTCAAAGTGCTGGGATTATAGGCATGAGCCACAGCACCCGGCTTGTAGCTATCTTAAGGAGGAACACATCTCAACTGAGACAAGCCTGAAATGCCAAACAAAACTGAGTTAGCCTCTCTCTGTCTGCTGTGTGTTGGAGTAGTAACTTATTTGCCTTGATAAAAAGATTGCATGCTTGAATTGCAAGAACCTTTATTTCTTTTGGGTTGCCAAATGTCCAGGACTAAGAGTTATTTCGATGAATTTCTCACCAGGCTGACTGTCTCTCTGTGGGGTTGGGGGATTTTTCAGGGTCCCACACTTTGCAGGGACGGTTCGGTTGTGAGATCCAGAATAACAGAAGCACTGGAGCATTCTGGGAGTATACCTATGATGAAAGGGGCTACATTAAATTTGACAAAGAAATCCCAGCCTGGATCCCCTTGGACCCAGCAGCCCACATCACCAAGCAGAAGTGGGAGGCAGAACCAGACTATGTGCTGCGGGCCAAGGCTTACCTGGAGAAGGAGTGCCCTGCGACTCTGCGGAAATACCTGAACTACAGCAAAAGTATCCTGGACCGGCAAGGTACTCCCTGCTCCCTGCTCCCCAGTACTGAGCCCAGAACAAAAGACGATCTCAGGCTAGGAGCTCAGGCAACATCTGAGTCTGGTCTCATCTCTTCCTGGATGTTCCCTCAGACCCCCAGCTTTCATCTCATGGGATTCATTCCTTTCCTGGGATGACATGATTTGTGGTCTGAAAAGAACGTCTTCAAAATTTCAGGCAGAGTGTGCCAGGAAGTCCATTCTTTGTTGGTGGGTGTCCCCAGATCGTCTCCAGTTGACAGACAAGGAGCTTGAGGTCAGAGAGGTTAGGGTAACACTGACTGTGAGAGGCAGAGCTGGGACCCAAATTCCAGACTTCAGATTCCCAATCCTGTAGTTGTTTCTCTTCACAATGACGCCTCCCATCTGGGTGGTGGAGAGAAGGGAGGTGTGTAAAATGTCAGCTCCGGAACGATGAGACCGAGCCAGTGTGAGTGGAATTGATGGCTGCAAGCTGAGACTTGGATTGGAGACGTAGTGAGACTCAGGAGTGTACAGTGCTGCAGGGAAGAAGCTGCTGGATAGAGCCATGGGCTGAATCAAGCAGCTGGGCTGAGACTGGGGGAGAGGAGAACTCAAGAGTATCCCACTGAGATATGGGAAGACATGGGAAGTGCACGGAGCATTCGCAACTTGTTGCTGTCTGAGTCAATGCATGGGTGGGGTGGGGACTGGGCAAAAGGGGAGCCAGGACATCCACGATCCAACAGAGAACGATCTGGGAAAGCGTCAGCCTTCCCTGATCTTCTGGAAAGTGTTCTGTGTGGCAGGTGCAGAGCTTAGAGCTCAGAGCTCTGCTGATAGCTGACATCCCAGGGTGGGGGTGGGAAGAGACCTGGGCCCAGAGAAGTCGACCTCAAGCCTGTACTGTCATGCTCTATCCCTCCACAGATCCTCCCTCTGTGATGGTCACCAGCCACCAGGCCCAAGGAGAAGACAAGAAACTCAAGTGCCTGGCCTACAGCTTCTACCCACGGGAAATTGATATGCACTGGACTCGGGCCGGCGAGGTGCAGGAGCCTGACTCAGGGGGAGACGTGCTTTACAGTGGAAATGGCACTTACCAGGCCTGGGTGGTGGTGCAAGTGTCCCCGAAAGACACAGCGCCCTACTCCTGCTATGTGCAGCACAGCAGCCTGGCCCAGCCCCTGGTGGTGCCCGAGGATGCCAGTTAGGAAGCAAGGGCTGGAGGCCATGTGGGGGTCTCAGCCCCGGTAGCCACCCTTCCTGCCTGACGTGGGAGCTGAACCTTAGAAATCGCCTTCAATGGAACCTCAAGGCCAGAGGAGTAATGTGGGGGGACAGGCAGGAGGTGGATTTGGAGACTGAAGACTGGGATGCCTGCCCTGAGCTGCCTCGGATCCCAAAATCATCTCACCTTGAGCCCTCCCCCACCCCATTGTGTAGTCTGTAGAAGCTAATAAATAATCATCCCTCCTTGCCTAGCATAACAGAGAATGGTATTTTTAACGGTGATATGCTGTAGACATGTGACTAGATTTTCTCATTGGTTCTGCTGTCAAGCCCTGGATTCATCTGAAACTCTTGGTTTCCCCTGGAGGCCATGGTTCCTGGGCTCCTTGACCTGGGCAATCCCAAGTGGGCCTGAACCCCCTGTCCCTTGGTGATATTTCAGGTGTTCCATGCTGACGTGCATAGGTGTGGCCATGGCCTCTCTGGCTGTGAGGTGCTAGAACTCTTAAAGCTTTCACATAAACCCAAACCTCTTCTGTGCCTCAGTTTCCCCACACTCCTTGGCTTCCTGGGAGTCCCTGCCCTCCACTCCAGCTGCTGCCCATCTCCACACTATGTTGGCTTTGGCTCAAACAGCCAGAGCTTAGTTAAGAGCCCTCACCCCTCCAGGGCACAGCTCAGGGAAGCAGGAACTGGCCCTGAGGTTCTCAGAACCCCTCCGAGTTGGGTCCCTGGGGGTGAGTTTCCTCAACTGAGTCACCAATTGTCAAGAACAGGTTTCAACCCCAAAAGACACAGCAGAGCTCTCACCTTGACCTTCTCATGAAGCCTCACCTGCCTGTGTCTGTGCTTTTCCTTCCCGTGGGACAAGATCTTCCTTTGTGTCCTCTGCTCAGCCTCCCACTCTGTATCATTCCAAAACTCATCCTCCAAGATGAGGTCCTTAATAGAGTCATTCCCGGCCTGTAGAATTCTGGCTTAATCATCTTATCTTTCACGAAAGCCCAAATTTGAAGGCTACATTTATTTTTAAACGCTTTGTTCCAAAAGCCGAAGTTTTTTTTTGTTTGTTTAAATTAAATCCATGTTCTCTTCTTGGGCAAAAAAAAAAAAAAGGCTATCCAAACAGTAGAAGGGTCCAGTTGATTTTTTTTTTGAGACTGAGTCTTGCTCTGTTGCTCAGGCTGGAGTACAGTGATGCGATCTCAGCTCACTGCAACCTTCATTTCAAGCAATTATTCTGTCTCAGCCTCCCAAGTAGCTGCGATTACAGGCACACACTCCCTGTGACAATGTTCCTAATATCCAAGTGGAGAGACAATATTACTCCCAACATTGCAGGGAGTGCGCAAACCTTCTGTGACATAGTTTGCGACATCCAGGGCAGGAGAAGATAATATTACTCTTAATATCACAGGGGGTGTACACCCCGCTGTGATATTATTCCCAATATCCAGAGAAACAGAGGATGATGTTACTCCCAATATTGCAGGGATGTACAAGCCCCAGTGCTATTGTTTCTAATATCCAGGTGGGAAGCGATGATATTGCTCTGAATATCGCAGAGGGTGTACAACCCTTCTGTTATATTGTTCCTAATATACAAGGTTAGAGAGGATGACATGACTACCAATATCACCGGTGGGGTGTTGGAGATTGCTAATCATTTCCAAAGCGGGAGATGATATTACTCCCAATAATGTAAAGGGGCTGTGTATCCAGAGGGGAGAGAGGGGGGTGATATTACTCATCATATGGTGAGGGGGGTGGCCACTCCCATGCATATGGCTTGTATCCCAGGGGGGAGAGGTTATTGCTTTCAATATTACGGAAGGTGTTCTCCCCCCGTGATATTATTTCTAATATCCATGAAGGGAGAGAATGATATTACAACACAGGTGCGGTGTACGTCCCCTGCGATATTGGGAGTAATACTATTTTCTCCTTCATAGATGTTAAAAACAATATCACAAAGGGGGTGTACACTCCCTGTGATATTGGGAGCAATATCATCCTCTCCCCTTGTTAAAATTAGGAGCAATATTACAAAGGGGGGTGTACACCCCCTGTGACATTGGGAGTAATATCACCTCTTCCCTCCTGGATATTATGAACAATATCATGGGAGGGTGTACACCATCTGTGATATTGGGACTCATATCACCGTCTCCCTTTCTGGATATAACAACCAATATCACAGAGAAGTAACATCATCGTCCTTTTTCACCCTGGATGTTCTGAACAATATCACAGGGGTTGTCCCCCATCTGCGATATAAAGAGTAATGTCATCCTCTCACCCCCGGATATTACCAACAATATCACAGGCGGAGTGATATCATCCTCTCCCCCCTGGATATTACGAACAATGTCACAGAAGGATGTACTAATATGATATTACTCCTTATATTGCACCTTTTGCCATGTAAGGAGTAATATGATATTCCTTTCCCCTGGATATTACCAACAACATCACAGACAGTGTACACACAGAGTGTTTATGATCTGAAAAATAATATCATGTCCCCCCCTGAATATTATGAACAATATTACAGGAAAGGTCCATCCCCTATGATATTGGGGCAATATCATCTTCTCCTCCCCTAAATATTTAAAAACAATATCAAAGGGAAATACACCCCCTGTGATATTGGGAATAATATCATCCTCTCTGCGATATTGGGAGTAGTATCGTCCTTTCCCTCCCTGGATATTGCAAACCATATCACGAGGGGGTGTACACCCTCTCGTGATATTGGGAGTAATATCACCCTCATCCCCCCGATATTATGAACAATAGCACAGGGGTGTGTACACCCCCTGCCATATTGGAAGTAATATCATCCTTTCCCACTCCTGGATATTATGGAAAATATCACAAGGGGGATGTGCACCCCCTGCGATAGTGGGAGTAATATCATACTTCCCCTCTCCCCGGGATATTACGAACAATATCACAAGAGGGTTTACACTTCCTGCGACATTGGGAGTAATATTCTTTTTCCCCCTGAATATTACGAACAATATCACAGGGGGGTGTACACCCTCTGCGATATTGTGAATAATATCCTTTCCCCCATGGATATTAGGAAAAATATCATAGAGGGTGTGTACACCTTCTGTGATATTTGGAAGTAGTACCATCCTCTTCCCCTTTGGATATTACAAGGAGTATCACTCTTGCAATATTTGGAGTAATATCATCCTCTCCCCTTCTGGATATTACAAACAATATCTCAGGGTGTACACACAGGGTGTTTACGACATTGGTAGTAATATTGTTATATGTAAATTTTCAGCGTCGCAAATAAATGTCAGCACTGGGACAAAGGATCTCTTAAAAAGGCAATCTTTATTTCCTGATGAAAGGGTGCCCTCGCCAGCAGTCTTGCCATGAGAGTACAATGAACAAAGGAAAAGAAGACATATTTCTCTTTTATGCATTTGGGGTCGTCTTTACTGCTATGTCTGATCTCCATTGGTTGGAGCCAGACCTCACAATCTAAACAAAACCTTGATTGGCTAACAACTTAAAACTTTTCTAAACAGGTAAAAGCAATGGAGAACAAAAGGAAAAGAGGAAGTCTAAAGAAGGAAGGGACAGGAAGTTGCTTATGAAAGCACTTAGAAAAGTAATAGCAAAAATATCTTAGTTAAAATACAAGGACATAGAATGTACTATGCGCCTGTGAGCGTGTCTAGCACGTGTATCTTGGTTAAAGTACAAGGACATAGAATGTACTACGCGCCTGTGAGCGTGTCTAGCACGTGTATCTTGGTTAAAGTATAAGGACATAGAATGTACTACGTGCCTGTGAGCGTGTCTAGCACGTGTATCTTGGTTAAAGTACAGGACATAGAATGTACTACGTGCCTGTGAGCGTGTCTAGCACGTGTACCTTGGTTAAAGTATAAGGACATAGAATGTACTACGTGCCTGTGAGTGTGTCTAACAGCTACATGGGATAGGGCTTAACAAACAGTTACTAGCAAAAAGCAAGAAGGCTTTGAAGAAAGTGTTTAAAACGAACTATTATTTCTAACACTTAGGATTATTCTTTATCAAGAAAGGAAACTTTGCAGAGGAACTTTTCTACTTTCTACAAATACTCTCCTCTCCCCTCCTTGGATATTCTGAACAGTATCACAGGGGGGGTGTATATCCCTTGAGATATTGGGAGTAATACCATTCTCTCCCCTGTTGAATATTATGAACTATATAACATGGGGTGTACAAAGTGATGCTATTCTAAGGTGACTGAGTTATTATTATTATTATTATTATATTTTGAGCTGGAGTCTTGCTCTGTCACCCAGGCTGGAGTACAGTGGCATGATCTCAGCTCATTGCAACCTCCACCTCCCGGGTTCAAGCAATTCTCCTGCCTCAGTCTCCTGAGTAGCTGGAATTACAGGTGTGCACCACCACACCCGGCTAATTTTTGTATTTTTAGTAGAGATGGGGTTTCATCATGCTGGTCAGGCTGGTCTCGAACTCCTGACCTCGTGATCTCCTCCCGGGTTCAAGCAATTCTCCTGCCTCAGTCTCCTGAGTAGCTGGAATTACAGGTGTGCACCACCACACCCGGCTAATTTTTGTATTTTTAGTAGAGATGGGGTTTCATCATGCTGGTCAGGCTGGTCTTTAACTCCTGACCTCATGATCTATCTGCCTCAGCCTTCCAAAGCGCTGGGATTAGAGGCGTGAGCCACCTCTCCTGGCTGAGAAATTATGAAAGGAGATCATTTTTGGCAATGAGACTCTTTGCGTTGGGGAGACTCTTCAAATTGCACTTGGAGTTGGTGCTGCCTGTGAGAGAACCTGTCAGTGGTCTTCTGTTGGGGGAGCAAGCAGTAACGTGGAAGAACCCACATGTGGTTCTCGGATTCCTTTATCATCTCTGATGTGCCCAGTCTATGCTCACAACCCAGCCCCATCCCCAGGTCACCTCCTTGTCAGGCTCTTGTGTTCTCCACCCCGACCAGCTGCTTTATGCTGACCTGGTTAGAAACACTCTTTTTTTTCTTTCTGAGATGGAGTCTTGCTGTGTCATCTAGACTGGAGTGCAATGGCATGATCTCAGCTCACTGGAACCTCCATCTTCCGGGTTCAAGTGATACTCCTGCCTCAGCTTCGTGAGTAGCTGAGATTATAGGTGCCTGCTAATTAATTATGCCTGGCTAATTTTTGTATTTTTTAGTAGAGATGGCCAGGCTGTTCTCGAACTCCTGACCCCAGGTGGTCACCCAGCCTTGGC